TATCATCAATATATTTAGCAAGCAATGCACATATATCCACAATATGTTCTCATGCATTATTCACAACATCGCATACAAACAATATGCATTCACAACATCGTGCTCACGAAAAATTCAATAACATTCATCATGCATTTTAATCAATTGAAACAATGCATTATATTTGTCAAAAGACCACAATTCATAATCTAGGATTCACGTCATACGACTACCCACAACATATACTTCACGACACACAATTATTCATTCCAACAAGGATCGAACACAATTGAACCAAGAAATCAACATGGAATGGAATTACAGAGAAAACCAATTGCTGTCACGCTCGCTAGCATGCTCGCCTAGCGAGTCTCTAGCGAGTGCTCGCTACCTGTTCGCCTAGCGAACAAGCTCGCGAAGGCAAACATAAGCTACTGTCTTGCTTCGCTGCCCAGCTCACTACAGTGAAGTCTTAGCGAACCTTCGCTGCCTCATTCGCTACCAGCGAAGAACCTCAAATCCATTCTGCCCAAGTATGGGACCGCTTGCTACCTACTCGCTACAGCTCGCTGCAGCGAACGTTCACGACCAGCTCGCCTAGCGAACAAGCTAGCGAGTGTCTGCGAACTTCAAAACCCTTACTGTCCAACTTTCATAACTCTCCACAAAACCGGCCGATTCTCACCAAACCAGTTCCAAAGCCTTAGTCTAACCTCCCTCGACTAAATTATACCACTTATTCTCATTTTTTACCGTTAAAACTCGGTTTCTATCGATTAAATCCACTTTTGCCCTTAAATGGAAGTTGGAGAAAACATCCAAACAATCCAAACCAATCATACATAATCATAGACTTTGATAAAATAACAACATTTCACACCCTTACCTTGGTTAAATCGATGCTTGAGACTTGTTCTTGAGCTTTTCCAACTTTTCCTTCTTCTCCTTCTCTTTTCTCCTCTTTCTCCTTCTTTCTCTATTCTTTCTCTTATGTTTCTATCTTTTCCTTTTCTTTCCACTTTCCCTTATATTCCTTCCATTCTATTCTCCTCTCAAATATCTACCAATAATTCCAATAATTAAAATCATCCAAATAAACTAATTAATTAACATGAATAATTAATTATTGAAAAATTGGGCTGTTACAGGGCGCATCAGATGGACAGTTTCGCCGCTATTGGAGAGGCTGCTCGAAGATGGCTGGATCTCTTTCCCCTTTGCCTTCTAAATCTTCTGGTCCTCTTCAGAAAAATGACTGTTAAGGTCGATGGAGTCGACGTGGGACAACGACTTTGCCTCTTCGGCGCTGCTGGGCAAAGAAGTCTAGTTGGGAGTCTTCAACCTGACAGTGATGGTATTCAACCCCTTGGAGGCTGCTTCAAAACATCTCCTCGTGGCTTCAATGTCTCCATGTAGAGTCGCCATAAGACCCTTCGAGGTATAGTCATCTTCAAGTGCACTATTGAGGGCACGACCACCAATTCGGCCAGAGTTAGCCGGTCGAAGATGCACCGGTATAACGATGGGCAACCGATGACGAGGAATTGGATCTTGATTGACCTGTCTATTTCAACGGATCTGAAAGTTACAATTAACTCCACGTAACCCCAGGGCTTTACCACCGACCCATTGAAACCTTACAGATCGGAACTACGTAGGGTGTCAGATGTGATTCGTCCAACTAGAGGGTGGAAAACAGCTGAGAATACATAATATCATCTGAGCTGCTTTGGTCGACTAGGATTCGCCGAACGTCAAAATTTTCCATTAGAGCTCTCACGAGTAGAGGGATACTGGCGTAAGGGGCTTCCCCGAGGAGCTCCTCACGGTAGAAGCAGATGGGGACAAACTCTCCTTGGACCCTATCGAAGGTGGAGTTTCGGTTCGAGCTATTGTTGATAAGGTGCTCGAATTTTCTTTTGACGGACCCTACCGTGACTTTGTTGAAGCCCCATCCAGAGATGACCATGGCAGAGGGGAAAGTCTCCCACGGGCTGTGTGCGGCGAAATATGGAGGGGCACTGAGCCCCTTGGGGATGTAGAAATCTTCAGGCCGCGAGATGCTCATAGCGACCTGAAGGCTGGCTTCCTCAGAGGAAGGTACTTCTTCCTCGTCCTTCTTGGATTCCTGAGCGTCTTGCCAAGGAGCATCCTTCCGTTTGGCGAACTACTTTAGATGTCCGTCCCTGATGAGTATTCCTATGGCATCCTTCAAGTGGATGCAGTCGTCAGTCATATGGTCGTGGCTCTTGTGGAACTGGCAATATCTCGACTTGTCCGTGTTCGATTTAGATGGTATTTGCTTTGGGAACCGGACCCCCGCCTGGCGGAATTCTGAGTTGGCGCACTTAGAAAAAATCTTTTCTCTCGAAACTGTTAGGGGAGTGTACTTGTGGAACCGGCCGGAGGGCTCTCAGGGACGATTTTCACGTCTTCTTTCTCCTCGACGAGATGTCGAGGGCTCGTCGGATCTAGAGGGCGGGGCACTCTCCCGGTGCCTCGAATCTCTAGAAGAACTAACAGCCTCCTTCTCTTCGTACTGAGTGTACGCTTGTGCCTTAAGGAGGAAAGCGTCCAGCGTTGTTAGAGGCTGGATGCCCACAGCTTTAGCAAATTCAGTGCGGGGACGGAGCCCGCGCTCGAGCATAAACTTTTTCATGTCATCGGTCATAGAGACCTGGACGACCTCCTTATTGAACCTTTTGATGTAGACTCGTAGGGGTTCATCTCTCCCTTGAATGATGGCCTCAAGGGATGCTTCAGTCTTCGGATGACGGTGGGAGGTTGTGAAGTGTCTGGAGAACATTCTCCCTAGTTGCCTCCATGAAGTGATGGAATCGTCAGAGAGCTTTTTGTACCAGGTCATTGCCCCTTTCCTGAGCGTGGTCGGGAATAACCTATATTTGATAGCGCCCCAGACGCCGCAGTAATCGAGTAGCGCATCGATATTTTTGATGTGCTCGTTAGGGTCCGTTGTACTGTCGTATGTGCCTAGAGAAGGGGGGTTTTTCCAGCCCCTTCGGCAGGCGCATGGCCATAATCTCCTCGGATAATGGGTCGTGAGGCTCGTCGTCACTGCTGCTGCTGGTCCAAGACGGGGAGCGGGTGTACCATCTATATGTAGAACGACAGTCTCGACGGGGAGACGGGGTTCATGTTCGGCCCTTGGATCTGGGTGGAGGCGAATGTTGAGACTCTACTTAGTGGTCTCTTCTGGTTCTCTTGTGTTGCGGGGAAAGCTGGTTCTGAAGAAAGATGTAATCGCACTTTCCAACGGTCTGGGTTTCTGGCTCCAGAGGTGTCCGATGGTTTCTTTCGCGTCAGGGAGGAGGACTCCGTGGTCGTTGACGTTCTTTCCTCGGTGGGGGGATCTTCAATGATTGCATTCTTCTAAAGCTCTAATCCTCGCGCTCTGATTGAGGATCAGGAGGTTGGTCTTGTTGAGAACCTCGAGGAAGGTCGCCATGGTCGGGTCGGCGCTGGGCGAAACGGGAACTGATAGGTGCTCCGGGACGAGTGAGACCTCGTTGTGATCTGCGCGAACAGGGGATGGAGAAGCTATGACTCTGTCTCTTTGTCGAAGGATGTCGTCGGCATGAGAGGTGGTTACTTCGTCAACATCAGTCTTGCTGACGGGGAGGAAAGCAGAGTTGTGTGCATCAATAATGTTGTTACGACTGACCATGATCGGGATTTTAAAGAACTGTTTTAGTCTCGTGTCTACGAAAGGAGAAAAGACAGGGATAACAAGATTCTCACAGACGACGCCACTGATCTTGACGACTGACCAGAACCTGAAGTGGGATATAAACAAATGCCTATGATGTTGGATGTGAGAGAGGAGGAGGGGTGTACCTGTAAGACACTCCAATACTAAAGTAAGAATCAGGCAAGAGAGAGAGTAAGTACAAAATATGAGTATATTAGAGTGAATATTGGATACGTGACCCTCTCAAGTGAGAGGCTTGTTATAGTGCCTCCAGCGGTTGGCCATTGGTCCCTATTTACGGGGTGAGATAACCGTTTTCCAAAATAGGTAACTGCCAGAAACTAGCCGTTGGAACGGGCAGGGGTGCAGTTACAGGCACAAGCGTCCTGACTGTTTTGGATGGTGGAGCCATGCGCGACAGACAAGTTTTGTCGAGGAGAAGTGTTGTGACCAAGGATAAATTGGCCAACCTCCCTTGTTAGAGGGGCAAAAAGGTAAATGCTCCTCTTAAATTGGATGGACTTAGACAATTAGGCCATTCTGAGAGCATAAGTGGATTGAGGCATGGCTAGCTATTGGGACAGTCCAAAACAAAATGTATAAATGCTTATCTATTTTTCTTAAAGTTTAGTAAAAAAAGTGTAGTTGATTATTGACAAGTTGCAAGTTTAATTGAAAATCATACATGTCATGAGACACATATAATAAACAAGTTAAGAAAAAAATAATAAGTTAAGAAATTCATCTCTACATCGAGACAAATACACCTAATACAAATATTAAGAGTTTAATTATTGGGTATAAAGATAAAAATAAGTGAGGTGTATGAATGAAAATAACTAAAATTCTAACGATATATTAAAAATGAAAATAATATATTTTACAACGACAACTATATTTATATCGAATAATATTAATTTAAAATACTTATATTAATTATTTATCAATGATATATGATAAGAATGAATTCAAATTTTTAAAGTAAAAGGATTAAAATTGCTGATTTAAAAATAAAACATCAAAATCTATAAATTGATAAAATAGAGAACTAAAATTGAAATTAAATGTATTTATAATGAATTTCTAAAATTTAAAAATAAATGTGTTAAAATTGCAAAATTGAAAAACGTGTGGGTAAAAACCAAATAATAAAAAAATTAAGTAACAAAATTATACATTACTATTTGGAACGCATAAACCCCTAAAAAGATTAAACCCTGCACGACACCACCACATAGCCGTCGCGTTGTCTCAGTTCGCATTCATCAAAACACTCCGATTGAACTTCGGAGGAATCACTTCATCGGAAAAAATGGAGGAGACATTCAGCGACGGTTCAGACCTCTGCCAGCAGCTCATGGACCGATATGGCAAATCCCCAGCCCCGCACCACCGTCACCTGCTAGCCGCCGCCGCTGCTCTGCGCTCCAACCTCTCCTCCGAGTCCCTCCCTCTCACACCGGCAGCCTATTTCGCAGCCGCTATATCTACTGCATCGTCGTCTGAGTCCCTAGACCCCGTATCACTGTCCTCGCTTGTGTCCTTTATGGCCATCGCGCTTCCACTGGTGCCAACTGGAGCCATCTCCGCGGAGAAGGCTCAGGAGGCGGCAGAAATCGTGGCTGCGCTTCTGGTGAGGGAGGGGGAGGGTTTGGGTGTTTCTAGCTTGAGGGCTGCAGTGAAGTGCGTGGGTGTTTTGCTTGGGTTTTGTGATTTGAAGTATTGGCATTTTATTAAATTAGGTTTTGAAACTTTGCTCAAGTTCTCCACCGAGAAGCGCCCAAAGGTCACAATCTATGTTTTTTTCTTCTAGGGTATGTTTGGATTGGTGGTACGAGATTGAATGGAATGAAGTGAACGGGGTAACTAATGTGATTCCATTGTTTGGATATGCAAATAATTGATGGAATGAAATGGAACATGATGGAATCCATTCCATTCCATCAAAATCTCCATTTTTTTCCATCCAATTTGGGGTGTATGAGATGGAGTGACATCTATATTCCATTCCGCTCTGCCTCATTCCGCTCTGCTTCATTCATTTCTGCACAGCCTCATTCCATTCCGCTCTGTTCCGCTCCGTTCCATTATTTCCACCAATCCAAACATAGTACTTTTATTTTATATCCATTTGTTATACATATGTTGGTATAGATGTTTGAATAATAGAAGTAAATATAAGAGTCCAAATTATCAGTGGTGTTCAATACATCATGAATATAGCTACTATTGTTTAGTGTTCATGCCACTTAATTGTTTGTTTGTTTAGGTTCGAAGATGTGCTCTAGAGTCTCTTGAGAAGTTTTTGCGGTCTCTCGAATCCTCCACTGTTATTAAGGAAGCTAGCAATTTGGTTCTGTCTGAACTAAAAAGGTGCATTGATTTAACAATGAAATTAACTGCTTTGAGGACTGCAGATGAATGTAAAGATAAAGGCACTTCAAAACACGAGCACTCCGATGTCCTACATGTACTAAACATAGTAAATCTAGTTGCTCCTAATCTTTCTTCAGAAGTTGTTCCAGAAGTTCTCTCTGAAGTGCATAGATTATTTGAATCTCAGATCCCGACACTTACAAGGCATGTCCTTAAAACTGTAGAAGCTATTTTTGAAACTTCGAGAGTCCGAATTATAGTTCTAGAGATAGAGGACTTTGTAGTTTCTCTTGCTTCTTTTGTATCTTTGGGTGATAAGAACCCATTGGATACTGTGATGTTTGCAGCAAACGTATTAAAACTTGCAATGGATTTACTTTATATTCGACAATCAAGCTTGTGGATCAAGAACCTTCCTCTAGTTTGTCAATCTATGATGGGTATGTATGGTGCTTCTGTGTTCATCCCTTATAGAAATCATTAAATTGTAATTAATCTAGTTTGGGTTTTAATTCTGATTATTTTATTTCACCTGGTTGTGCTTAGAACCATCTTTCTTCTGATTTTTCTTTTAGCAGAAAAAGTGTTTTGAATTACCAATTTGTCACACCAATGCATCAATAATCAAAAATAAGAATATCTTGATAGTTCCTCTATAAAATATTTTCCACATACCTGCAGTGCATTGGTTGGTGGTTTTTCCCCATGGATACCTGCTGCATACTGCAGGGACTTTTTATGGCATGCTGTGTCTAGTTCTAAGTATAAAATTTCTGTGCTATGTACGAATATATGAATATATAGTGATGTCTAAATACGTTGCTACCGATTAATGTTAAAATCTTAGGTGTTGCTGATAATGTTACTGTGGAGATATTTTAGTAAAATGGATCTTTCATGTAAATTTTTTAGTATTACTGCTCTCTCTTTCCTTATATTCCGTTTTCTATAACATAATGTTCTGATTCAATCTGCAAATGTTGAACATAGGGCTTCTAACTTCGGAGGGAAACACTGCATCGCAGGCTTCAAGTATCTTAAAAGATGTGCTCAAGCACCTTCTTGGTTCCAATATCTTATTAAATAGTACAAATGAAACATTACACAATGATAGTTCGCTAAGTTTAGAAGGTGACGCAATAAAATCAACATGTGAAGTTTTTGAGAGCATCCTCTCTGCTACTGATGGGATGCCAAATGAGCTTCTTTTGTCAGTCATATCTCTTTTGTTTCTTGTGCTTGGTATGAAACTGTCTATCACCATATTAGCAAACTGTAGATAGAATATCTTCTTTTCAAATTCGTTGATCTATGTAATTTGTTGTTAGTATATATACTCAGTGGCATTGTTTTGTTAAGCAAGTTAGTTCTTGTCTCACGTTGGTGCTCTGCACATGTTTTAAAAGTGTTGATATGACAATACAATTTCAAACCTCTTAGGCTCATTGTTTTCTTTTTGTTTCTTATGGTAGCTGGTTATCTTGTCCATCGCCTTCATTATACTTTCTTTCTTTTCTCTCTTATTAAAGTTTTTTGTCAAACAAATATGTTAGAATATTTTATAATGTTCTAACAAAATAAAAAGAAAAAACACTGGATAGTCTCTTTTCTCTCTTATTACAGTTTTCTGTCAAACAAATATGTTGAATAATTTATAATATTCTAACAAAATAAAAAGAAAAAACACGGGGTAGTCTCTTTCTATCTGTTTGTTTGTCTCTGTCTTTCCTGTTATTTTTTGAGGAGATAATGTCGTGTTTGGTATTGCACTTCTCTTATTTTTCTATACCAAATTTTCTTGTGTAAAAGAAATTTGTAATCATACTCATTTCATCCCGGTCTTCTCTTTGTAATCTTCATTGGTTGCAGGAGAATTCTCATTTGAATTTATGAGGAATATTGTGCTTAAACTTGCTCACTTGATGATTCAAAATCCTGATGGCAAGGCTAATAATGAACATGTAAGTTCTGGTGAAAGATTCTTTTAATGTATTGGCTGTTTCCACATTGATCTAGATGTTTGATATAATGAACATGTCATGTATTTCTCCATTATGTGTTGTTTTTCACTCATTTTAAAGTTATGGGGTAGTTAAACATAGGAAGTTAATACATTAAAACAAAATTGTCCTCATAAGGTTTGGGAAATCCTCACCTCTTGAGCTAATGTGTTGGGTTGTGTTAGATTTAAAGTCCAAATTGCAAGAGTTAAATATGATGGAACACAACATAACATAAGAACTTTGCTGTGTTGAATATAGTTAAAATAAATATAATAGAACCACCCATGAGGATATAAATTTGTACTTTTTGGTTCCACTAAAAGTATGGAATCAAGAAGAATAGAATATAACAAGTTAATTCTAAAATCCAAGTTAATTCATGGCTCAACTTAGGAAACCCTCCATTGGTATAGCGACTATTTCAACTTATACTTTCTAACTAATAATATTGATTACTGTTGTAGACTGCAAGATATTTTGAAAAATATTTCAGTAATTTAATATTCTGCCATAATATGTTTTCATAGTAGTTTTTGTGTTTCCTTTTTTTCATGAATTATTTCCTTATTTAATTAGTATTAAGAGTTTAATATGGGTATGTTTGGATGAAGAATTTTGCAGAGGAGGGAAAGACATGTTTTTCTTTTCTAAATGAAGGAAACTATAAAATGTTTTTAAAAATGAATTAAGTGTCATTGAAATGTTATATGATCATCTATCATGTCATTCTTTAATTTGTTTAAATCTTAAATGTGTACCTGGCCCTCTAAAACCCTTAATCCAAACATACCATTGGCACAGATAAGGATAATTTTCATGTCTCTTGTAATGGTATCTAATATATTGATCACTTTCATACCAATATCATATAATTTTATTATTTTGGGCATGATTCCCTCCCTCTATACCTAAAAGGCTAAATGCACACGTTTTGAGAGACATGGGTTTTTTTCTTGGTGGGCTAGATGCCCGTTGAAAGGCCTTGGGATGCATACACAAACATGACCTAAAACCCTTCAATTTCAACATTGTACAACAAGTGGTACCATTCTCTGTGACTTATGCCGTCTCTATTCTGCTTTTGAGTTCCCTAAAATCTAGAACTCTACTAAAACAATGTCTCTATCTCTATATTTTTTTCCCTTCTCATTGGCCTTGCACAATTCCTGGCTATTGTTTTGGTCTTGACTTTTGTCCCAGTTATTGTTAGTTACTGCTGTTTATGTTCTGGTATGATATAAAGTAAAGCTACTTTACTGATCACTGTTTAATCTTGTTCTCAATGCTATGCAGCTTCAGAAATGTATTGGGTCTGCTATTTTTGCTATGGGACCAGAGAAATTTCTCACACTTGTACCTCTCTCTCTTGATGAAGACAACTATACTTATTCAAATATTTGGCTAGTACCAATCTTAAAGAAGTGCATTACTGGAGCATCACTTGCTTACTACATGGAACATATCATGCCTCTTGCAAAGTCCTTTAAGAAGGCTAGCCGTAAGGGTATATTTCAACATGTTGAACATCTTTATCTATTGATAGCAAGTGTTTTCTTTTTATTATGTTCCTTTATTGCACTACACTACTTTCTTCATGGTGTTGTATTTTTCAAATCCTTTTCTTTTCGCTTAAAGATGGAGGAAGCTGGTAAGGATTTTTTTTTACCAATGGCCATCTCTCTACCTTGTCCCTTTGGGTGCTTTGGCTATTTCTTGTCTTTTCCTTCCCTTTTTGGTTCGAGATGCATGACACTGCTATATTTGCTGATCCCTGTTGAGATATTTTATATTTATTGTTGAAATATTGATATTTGTTAGCATCCTTTGGGATTATGATAGGAATGCTTTCCTATTTAGGTTATATGTCTCATGTATATAAATAATTGTCGAAAACTTTTCATATCAATAAGAAACTTTCAGATTCAAGTTGGTATCAAAGGCTATCCAAGATCTGTTGTACCACTTACTATTGAGTTTCCGCTATCGAGCCAACTACTATTTATATTCACACGCCAAACCTGAGAGCAAGGGCGTGAAGATATGGCCTGACATATATTTATAAGTCAAAGCAATTCTCACCTAACAAGCTAATTTTGTAAGGTTTTGTTAGGTCCAACCACAATTCTTAAAGAGTACATTATATCATTCCATAATACTGTCACGAGGACATATAAATTCTGTCTGTCTCTTTCGTTGTATTTTATGTTTAGCTACTCCTCTGTTGTCAACATCTTTCTCAAGTTGATTTTTTGTTAGTGCGAACCTTGACACTCCACTTAAGTGTTGTTGTTGGTGGAACATGGCTGCTCGCCATGAACATGCGACGGTGTAACAGTGCATGGTGCAAGCATGACAGGGTATGGTGGGAAACATATAGATGTACACACACAAAAACCACATACTCAGTTGATACTATCTCCATCCCTAATTATAGGACCCCTTTGGCAAAACCACGGGAATTAAGAAAGTTGAAAGTGATAATAAATTTGTTGATAATTGATGTTGTGTTTACAAGTTTGTCCTATAAGAGATTAAGTTAGTTTAGGTTTTCATGATTGTATTTAGTGTTAATTGCAAAAAATGATGTAGAATAAATAGGGGTATGTTGATCAAGAAATAATTGATGCATTTGAAAATTCAAAGAGAGTCTACTAAAAAGGGACAAAAAAAAATCCTCAAAAAGGTCTTACATTTATAGATGGGAGGTCGTATTAAATATCATTGGTCTCAATAAGAAAAAAGATAATTTGAAGAATATAATTAAAATAACTTAAAAAACAAAAAAAGATAATTAAAACTGATCATAAACAGAAAAGTTAATTTAAAAACAGAATATGCTTATAAACGGAAACAGAGCAAGAATTAAAACAGAAAAATAAATTTTAAAAATGAAGCAAGTATATAAAATAGATGAAAACAGAAAATGTATAAATTGAACAGAAACTGTAATAATAAATGAAATAGAAGAGAAATGAAGAAATAAGCAAAGAAAGAATGAAATATAGAAAAAGGTAGAGAAAAAAAGGAAGAAAAAAATAAGCAAAGAAAACACCAATAAAACAGACAACAGAGAGAAGCAAGAGGTGGTTGCAGACTTGCATTGCAGAGAGCTTGTCGCAGTTGGGTGGTGGCGCAGTCGTACACAGGGAGAGAACAGATAGGAAAGAGAGCAGAGAGGTAAAGAGAAGAGCGGATATAAAAACATGGCATGCGGCCAATTTTTAGGTTTTCAACATTTTTTGGACTTGGGTTTAGGTTTTACCACATGTTGGGCTTGTGTTCAGCGGGTCACAGGACCTAGCCAATGTTTCTCCGCCAAGCCACCATGTTTTACTCCATCGTGGCGGTCAGTTGAAATCGAAATCCCACCACTGATATCTGCCGTGGTGCCTCCATGGCCGAAATTCAACAACCCAGTTCAACTCGTAATCAATTCCATTTTTTAGGATGAACTTCCTTATCGTATAAGGGCAATGATTGGTTGTAGATCAAGCCAACAAGAAATTTCCCTCTTCCCCCTGACTCTAGTAGCTTTCCGTTGTCTTCCAACATCAAATCCAGACAAGGTGTGGCACATTGAGTCCAAAAAACTCTTTTATGCTCATCTTGGAAACATTTGCCTAAGACCAAATTGAATGAACAAAATTTGTAATCAATTATCACATGAATAAAGCATTAGAGAATTTAACCATTAACAACAACATTCTTGCCCTTCAAGCAGTTACATTGTCAGCAACAACTTACACTCATTTGCACTCCAAGCTCATCCACATTCTCACTCAATGAATTCCATTCCTTAGCCATATCTAGGTTGTCATTGGTATGCTTGACCTTTGCAACTGAATCAGTTGAGGGATCAGGGCTCCAGAAATTTGTTGCATGAGATGATACCATGGTTGAGTAGAAACTGAGGCGAAAAACATAAACAGAGGTGAAAAAACAGCGGAGAGAAACTGAACTGAGAAGGGAACAGAACATGGCTGTTACTACTGCTGCTGCCTTTGCTGTCGCCCGAAATATCAGTCATCTTAACTAAAAATGAAGAGCTGGAAAGCAGCTGGGTCTTGCCTAAACACAGAGGAGAGACCGAGTCTTCGTAAATGAGTGGGAGTTTGGCTGCTTAAAATTATAAACTAGAGCGACTAAAAAATCCCTTTAAAAATATTTTGAACAGATAGGAAAGAGGGTAAAATGGGTATTTCAAATTCTAATCCCCTTAAACTGCCTCAACAGGCCATTTTCCCTTTAATTTGCGGCCACAACATTCTAACAGACCAGCATTTAAGGTCGCATCAGACTCCAGCTCTTATCCGTGATACTGTGGTCGCCCGCTATTGAGAACATAGTTAAAAAAAGTAACTGAAGAATCTATTTCCATTTTGTATGGGGGAAAAATAGTAAAAAGAAATTAAATCTTGACAATTAGTCATTTTGGGATATTACTATGCTAAGAAAAAAGTATATTATCTTTAAGTTTTGTCATTGTTGTTCCACTCTCACTTCATATATTTATCCTTATGCTGTTACTATTAGACATGCAGTCTCTATTTTATGACATAATAATTAATTTAGTCAAATTCTTGAGCCAAAATTTTCTGGTTTCTTTCCAGTCAAAAAGTCAGAGATTAGTCAAGATCTGCTGGTTCGTGCCCATGAATTGTGGGGTTTGCTTCCTAGCTTCTGTCGTCATGCAACTGATACACATCAAAGTTTTGCTCGTCTATGTGATGCACTGTATACTTTTCTTAAAAAGGACATCTCGATGCATGAAAATGTTTCAACGGCATTACAGGTCACATTTCATAAATTGGTGGTGGCCTTTGTACTGGTGGTGCCTTTATTTGTTTGTTTTTGCAATTGACTTTGCATGTAAATGTTCTTTTATATGTAGATGCTTGTGAACGAGAATAAAGCTGCACTTGGTCCTAAAAAGAACGGACCAGCTTGTGACGCAGAACATGATTCTTCATTAGAGATCAGAACACGGCGTGCTTATTCAAAGAAAGTTGCTACCAGAAACATAAAGGCCTTAGCATCACATTCGAATCAGTTGCTTCATATTTTATCTGATTTATTTATCAGTTCACTTCCTGAAACACGCATTTCATTAAAGGTTTCACATTTTTCAATTACTTTGCAGATTCTCCCCTGTACTCTGATACCCTTCTCCTATCCTCTTTTGTCTTGTAAATCTATGAATACACTCTTTTGTTCCATTTAATATGATTTTGGAGAATTTCTAGGCTGAATATTATTCTTTTACTAATAATCCCTCTAACATGAAAAAATTTGAATTTTTTGGCTCTTTTATAGGGTGCAATCAGGTGCCTAGCTTCGATAACCGATTCTTCTGTAACCAGAGAAGTTTTTATGTCTCTGCTCAGGAGGTTTGAGATTGTAGATTGTGAAGGTGAAAGTGAAATATTGACAACTAACAGTAAAGCTTTGGACATTGAGCCAAATGATGAGAAGAGATGTTCTCAAAGGTGAAATTAGAATGTACACACACACACACACACACACACACACACACACACACACACACACACACACACACACACACACACACACACACACACACACACATTTCATATAAGAAACAGATTTTGCAGATTGATACTTCCTCCCTCTAAGATTAAATTCACGGTTGAGTTGTACATGATTCTTAACGAAATGATTAATTAGTTTAATTTTGATGTTAAAACTATTATCATTTACTAAAACACCCTTATTAATTGTACTTCGTGGAATAATTAAGTGGAGTGAAGTTCAGTAAATAAAGATATGTAAGTGGAAAAATATAATAAATATTGCATCAGACTTATTAATCCCGGATGGCGGAGCGGCCGACCCCAAAAGTGGGATAATGGATAACGGATAGCGGGATAACTTTTTGTACTAATAATTATATAATAATCTATAAAACATATACTTAATGTAAAATTAAACAAATAACACAGCACTCATAAAAGATTTTTTATAAAATCCAATGTCAAAGAACATAAAAAAACTCTTAATCAAAATCAAAACATCACATCTTAAAATTCAAATTTAGTACTATTATATGAAAATTCAAGCAAACATAGAAATCACAGTTTGGATTGCTTAGACTGTTTAAGTTTTAGAAATGATTTGTTCATAACTACAGTTTTCCTTATTTGGATTAAAATAATCAATAATTCTTCATTTGTTGATCTTGTTCAAATGTCAATTTTCTTATTTATTGGCGGCTTTAAATATGATTGAGCTTTACATCTTAAAGTCTATAGCAAATTGAATCCTTAAAACTATCTCATGTTTTGCAACTTCTTATAATTATATAATTGATGACAAGCCAGAGTCATGTTATGCTTCAGGTGCGCAATATTGGAAATAGCATTCTGTCTTGTTGAAGGAGCCAATGATAATCTTGTTGAGATGATTTATAATTTAACTGTACATTCGTTTCAGGTATTTCTCAATGGTTGAGCAATACTCTGTATTATTATATCCCTTTTGAATTCTTTTGACAAACTTGTAATTTTGAAAAATAAAAGTTAATGCATGTTTGATATATAGGCAACAAATGAGAGTATTCGATGTGAAGCATACAACATTTTGAGCAAAATTTTGGAGGTATGCTTTGTGCGACATCTTTTTCTGTTTTATTTTCTCTTGCTATGTGTCAGTGTTTTTGTTTGATGGTGCAGGAGCAACCAAGCTATGCTTCACCTAAATACATAGAGCTAATTGATTTATTACTTAGTGTAAAGCCTCCAACCGCAGTTGCTTCTCTTAGAAGCCGGTTTGCTTGTTTCAACATGTTGATGGTACACATTGTGAAGGTCAGAAATCTTAATTATGATATTATTTCGGTTTTGATATGATTGTGTTTCAATCTCTGTAAATCTTAGACAAGAGGATGTGCAATCTTCTAGAATATATTTTGGCTTCTATGTGTGTCTTTGGAAATTAGTATTTCCACTTCAGAACGAAGGGAACACATCTTTTCTGAGGTGGGTCATTGTGCGTTTAAAGTTTGTCCATTCTGGAAATAGACGCTGTATGTTCTTTTTTTGTAGTAGAAATCCATTTTCTGCCTTAAGCTCCTCCAACTGCCAAGTTCTAAAGTACTTGTTTTACCCATACCCTGTTTATAGAAAATATCTGGACTCAGACCCATATGGCATGGTAGAAACCGAGACATAATACGTAGGTAGTCAATAGCTGTAGTGCCGCTATTATGGCGGACTGCCGCTACAGCAGCCCCACTGCATCTCATATTAAGGGTGTGGGCATGGTTGTCAGGATCTCGATCTAGATCTTAAAATCTTAAGATTTTATGATCTCACTCACCCCAACAATTTGGATCTTAAGTAGAATCGCGTGTTGTAGCCAAATTGTGATTTTTTTTTGTTGTAAAATCATTGATTTTGTGCGATCTTTGCGAGTTTCGGGCATGATTGGTCATTTTCCGGCCACTACCATTAAAAGTGAGAAGGATGACAAGATACATAGGCACAACAATTATGGTTCGACGACAACGAATGTGTCTTTTGAAATGAAGTTTTAGATTTAGGGTTTAGGGAATAAACATCTCATTTGTAGGGTTTGTTTTAACTAATTGACTTATGATAATCCTATTAATTGACCAAATATATCCCTAATGTCTAACAGATGTTCCATGTGGTAGTAATAAAGCATAAAAACTCAATCATTTATGTCTAAAAATATGAAAAGAATCATTTTCTCACGGATGCATTTACCTACTAACATATATCTTGTAAAAATACTTAAAATATATACTATTATTTATACATTTTAGTAGGATATTATGATTTTTGTTGCGACCTTATGTTTTACGATCTTGTTACTCCATCTCGATCTTACAAAAATAATTGGGTAGGATCTTCTGATCTTAACTACGTTTTTATATTTTCCGATCTTGCTATTCTCTTCCGATCTTATGACAACCTTGGGTGTGGGTAAAGCAGCGGATGTGGTGTGGTTAATGTTTTAATAATAACATTGTGTTTAATGCATCTTTAGAATATGTGCAGCATTTTGTTTGCTTCTGGTTGAACTGTGAAATTGAGTTAACAGATGTACATTTTACATATCTGCATTAAATGTTTTGTAAGAGCCTGGTTCGTTTGTATATTTGAGCCGTATCTCTGAGACTTTCTTGGGAGGAGGTTCATAAAGTTATTTTCGCACTCTTTTTTTTTGTTTTCTTTTTTTTTTAGTTTTCTTTTTTTTTTTTTAGTTTTTTTTTTAATCTTTGAATGAGGATGTACAACGTACATGGCACTTCACTTCAACGCTCTTTTATTGATATATATATATATATATATATATATATATATATATATATATATATATATATGCATTCTGCAGATTAGCTTAAAAGAGGAGGTCAACTCAAAGGCTTTTCTCATTCTCAATGAAATCATCCTCACATTAAAAGATGTAAGTTCAAGTACATAGTATACACATTTCTTTAGTTAATTGGTTTAACTTGGTCTACTATGTATAATGTATCATATCAACAAGGAGAGATAATAGCTTTGCTAAATCGTACACATTGGTGCCGTGTAGGGAAATGATGAAGCTAGGAAAGAAGCTTGCGATTTACTCTTAAATATAAGTTCTAGTTTGAGAGACTTATCATGTGTTGGCCCGGTTGCACCATATCACAAACTTGTTAGCATGGTAAGTTAACTCTTGTTTTTAACTTTTATCAATCAAGTGTTACTCGAATTTTCCATAATTATGTTTTTTTTTTTTTTTCTGTTCTGTTTTAAGCCGACAATTTTGCAACCAATGCAATTTCACACTATGTGTGCTTGGATGAACTTGTTTTATGTTAAAAGAAATTATATCATGTTATAATTGGAGGGGATGATTTGCATTTTCTAGAATATATTAATGAGCTATGGCTTCAATACTCTAATACACAGATAATGGGATATCTTTCCGGTTTGTCTCCCCATATAAAAAGTGGAGCAGTCTCTGCGCTGTCAGTATTGGTATATAAGGATGCGAACCTTTGTCTCTCAGTTTCTGATCTCGTCCCTTCTCTTTTATCTTTGATGCACAGCAAAGATACGGAAATCATAAAAGTGAGTGTTACCATACATTTTCAAAGTCAAATAATTGTTTGAGCATATTTCTGTCATTGCTTAGTTTAATCTTCAATCTGTAACAGGCTGTCCTGGGCTTTTTTAAAGTGATGGTCTCTTGCTTAGAAGCAAAAGGGTTGCAGAATATTCTGTCAGGTGTTGTTGCTGAAATCATCCGCTGGTCATCTGTTCCAAGACATCATTTTAGAACAAAGGTTTGTCTAACTTCTAATATTAAGTTTATAGTCTTGAGGATGCACACAGTGTGTGTAACATGGAATCATGCACAAATACTGGATGCATCTATACTGGATGCATACTGTGTGCGTAAATAAGTACACTTGCACAACATGGAATCATGCATCTATACTTGATTGAACCATAACAATAACATTTTCTTGTTTGTCTGTAGGTCACAGTCATATTAGAAATATTAATTCGGAAGTGTGGTTCCGCTGCTGTGAGAATGGTTACCCCTGAGAAATACATGGATTTTCTAAGGATGGTTTTAGAGGTACTTCTTTTAGTCCGGTCTAGCCATGTTATTTCACCATTCAAAAGCATGGAAGTTGCTTACAGGGGCTTAGTTTTTTTTTATCAAGACCAAGCTCTTAAATGATCTGAGTTAACTTTTTATGGATAAAATTAATGAGGCATTAAACAGTATATAAACTGCATATTCCATACACATTTATCATAATGGAACAAACAAATATTTTGTTCCTGGGTCGATTTCTGAAGAGGTGTGGCTGCTGCCATCAGGTTGCATATGAAAGCTAAAATCACAGTGAATGTTCTGGCATTTATTTTTCTTTTAATCATTTGTCTTTTTATGCTTTAGGTCTATTTTTCATATTTACATTAGATCTTTAAATAGAACCCTTGTAATTAAGTAGAGACTCAGTTACTCAAAGGAGAAAATAATCTTCGTATCACAGCTATACTTTGGAAAATGTTGTTTTGTTTGGATTTTACATTACTCTCAACTCCGGCTCATTAGAAATTTGTAGTATTTCTAGATGGGACATCAGACTGATTTCATGTTTGATAAAAAAAAATTTATGTTGCCTATTGATGTGCAGAATCGACATGGCAAATCAAATGAAGCAGCCGCTAAGGAGACAGAAAATACACCTGAAGTTTCAACTGCCAAAGGGTATGATTTTATTGCTTGTGAAAAAAAAATGTTGCTGATTTGTTATTTCTTGGAAGCTGATTCAGAGTCGTATTGTCTATCACTCTCCTTTGTAGGCCGGAGCGGAGGAAACATAATAACAGAGATACCCAAGAGAAAGACTCATTTCAACAAAAAATGAGAAAAAATAAATTTGAAAGCGACATGTCAAGCAATAAGGGGCCATCTAAGTCTACTAGCAATGATGAATTCAGATTAGCCAAGAGGAGTAGGCATTCTAATGATACAAATTCAAACGTAAGGTCAGAAGGAAGTAAAAAGGGGAATAAAAGCCAGTTCAAAAGTTTCACTCAGGGTGGTGGTAATAGAAACGTAAGGCCCCAAGGGACGGAGAAAGATAAAGCAGCTTCCAAATCAAACAAGTTAAAAAGGAAATTCAAAAGAAATTGATAGATCATAGAATTGCGATATACTTAAAAGATGATAAAGCAGTTCACATAGAAGTGTGATATATCTATATTTTGCGTTGGTGTTGGAGTAGAAGGGGAAGTTGGTATTTGCTCTCTATTATTGCCTAAAAATGGTGGATGTTTTTAAAGTGAAGTATTATAAGCAGGATTATTTAAATGTGTTTCTTGCATAGCAAGTAATATAGAGAGGACTTTTGGCCATTTTTGTCGGGCTTCGATGCTCTAATAGGCTGAGAAAATGAAATGCTTTCTCACTGTATGCATATTCTTATGGGAGAAATTCAACAAAAAGCTGTTGTACTATATGACTGACGTTGGCTAGTCATGTCTATAGCTATTTGACAAGGTTTCTATTAACCACTGCTATTTAACACTAGGTATCCCATGTTAAGATTTACAGTATTGATAAATTATGTACACGAAGTTTTTCTCTGCCATTTTCTTTGATTATAGAGATAACTTGTATATAAGCTCGCTTATGATATATTAGTACATAAAAAAAAAACTATTAAAATGGATAGTGTCTAGATTTTATAGATGTTTAAAACATCTTGATTTTTTAAATGTAAAAGAAATAGAACTTTGTTATCAATTATTTATCTGTCTAGATTTTAAAATGTACTAAACTATTATGTTTTTATCAAGAAAGTTCAAATGTCTCCACCACCGGATTTCAAGTGTTATAAGACTTTAAATGTGAGCATATCATGACCACATGGGATTTAAAATGTACAAAACTATTGTGTCAAAAATAATGTACAAAACTATTGTGTAAAAAATAATGTGTTACTAGCATTCCTCATGAACATAATCATTAGCACATGCAGGTTGATTTTGAGTTTTGTCACTATTATATTTTACTAGTATATCATATGAAAGAAAATAATTTTTTTTCTTAACATTATTAGGATCAACAAGGATATGTTCACCAAGATGTACTAATTGTTTATTGATTGTTGACGAATTTATATATGGGTTTAAAGGTGATACACTGTAATTGTAAGACAGTTTTACACATGCAACCAATTAAAATGTTTATAATTACCATATAATATAAGTATTTTTAAATAAAAATATGTTTAATTTTGATACATAGTTGTGATTGATTGATATTTAGGATGTCAGACAATTCAACACAATTGAACATTTGTAGAAAACTTTGAACTGAGCAGTTGATTTTTCTATATGTTTAATTACCATATATGAGCAGTTGATTTTTCTATACATTTGTAGAAATTGAACATTAGGTTGTGTAATAGGTAGTTTAGATGAGTTATTTAACTGAACAATGTGTTTGATAGATAGTTTAGATGAACAATGTGTTTTGAGCATGTTTGACTTACATGCATTTCTGCCATTTGTGTTTTTTCTAAGTTGCAGGTTAATACAGAAATGCACTTCCGTATTTGATCAAAATTTGATTTTTCAGAAATTCGAAAATGCATTTTTGTATTTGACATTTCTGCATTGTTTGCCTTGATTTTTCATTGTGTTTCATTTGGATAATGCTTATATGGTTTAATTATAGGCATTATGGATGACAACCAAACTAAATTGAGGCTTGACAGAGTGTCGCAACATGGATCAATTCGTAGGAAAAAACCCGACTCTTGTAGGCATCAGCCCGACTCTTGAGTGATGACATTTTAAAACATTATTTTTTTCATCCTTCACATGCTGAGATGTCCATCACATTGAACAATGTCTCATGTCTATTGTATCTTCTGATTAGAGAAATATTATTAGACCACTCTAGAATAATCATATTTGAGGCACTGTAGATGATAGCGGACTACTTAGGAGTTGGACCAGATGAGACCCTAAAGAAGATAAAAGACATATGAAGGTGTTATGTTAGATTTGGATTCCTGGAGAGTCTGTATGCACAACAACTGACATCAACAGAGCAGGCTGATGGGGATGATGAACAACTTATGCAATATAGAGCATATGCATTGAGAGCATACATGTTGAAGTTGGTTTGCAAGTCCATATTTGTGGACAAGAGTGCCTATTACGTGGATGTGGTTTGTAACACCCCAAATATACCCCGTGCGCTTAAATAAAAATCAGAGTGAATTCAAACATTTCATATTTAGGATGTCAGACAATTCAACACAATCAACTGCTCATATATTAAAATATGTAACACATGCAAATATTTGACAAATATTTAAACTCACCAAAACAACTCCACATGTCTTGATTTCAAAACATTATTGTAATAGCAGAAACATAAACATAAACAGTTATTCAAAGCATAATTATTCTTCAAAATAACATAAACAACAATTATTCTAGGGATATCCAAAAATCTCCATCGAGCTCAACATAACACAACGTTTCTTGACTCCGGTGTTACACATCAGAGCAGACACCGACACTAAAGGGAAAATAAGAGACTTTATATTTTACTTACTTCAACTTCTTTATTGTGAGTTATCTGCACGATGCCCATGTAAAAACAACATTCAAACAGAAGGGGTGAGATATCATAAATAAATAAAGAAAAACATGATAATAAAGCAAGCATTAGATTTCTCATGCACAAACACCCATTCCACAACATACAACTCTACAACAACAGTTACAACCGGCATGACAACAAATCCAATACAACAACAACAAACACAACAATAATGCAATGCATTAAGACTCACAACTTGACTCAATGCATGTGGTACCATCAGTTACTATTTCAAAACCAGATTCCTATTTCAGGATCACAATTCCCGTCAGAATTTCCATAATATCACTCACATCCCACATGGGCACACAAATCGCTGTGATCGCTCACACCCCACACGGACACATGAATCACCGTGATCGTTCACACCCCACATTGCCGCACGATCACCTCAACAACAACAACAATGATACGATTCCACAATTAGAATCTGAATAAGATGCTCACACCCCACATGGGAACACGACTTATCTCACAACTCATGCAACCATGAAATGCATGACAACAGCAACAACCATCTAAACAATTCAACATGCCACTACAGGCCAGCAACAACAACATGCCACTACAGGCCAACAGCAACAACATGCCATACAGTCCAACAACAATGACATACAACACGAAAAGCATCCACAAGGCATTTAAAATCATATCACGCCAGTTTTCCGACTCTTCGAACAACACTCAAATCGGACTTCCGGAACAAAAGTTATGAATTTTATAAGGTTTTTAAAAAAAATGCCAGTGGCATAACCGATTACCATAATTCCCGTAATTGATTACGCCTTTGAAAAATCCAAAAATGCAGTTTTTAGGTGGCGCAATCGATTACCACAAACACCGTAATCGGTTACGCCTTTGAAAAAGCCAAAAATGCAGTTTTTTAGGCAGCGTAACCGATTACGCCCGAAACGGTAATCAATTACGATGCAACCAGAATCACTTTTTCAACAACTTATCATACTAAATCACTTTTGAACCCTCCCAAAAAATTCATTTTTTTTATATAAATAGTTTGGAACATATTTTAACACGAAAAAACACTTTTCTAAAGTCCCAAACCTCAAATCCTTTTCATAAAAAATTGCTCATGAGTTTGTTCTGACTCTGACTCGTGATCACAACAACCAACAACATCAAGCAACAAAAATTAATCGATTTAACAACAATAACAATGCAACAATTTCATCAACTACAACAAATTTAACAACAACATACAACATTCATCAGATTCAACCAAACCCTACAAAACCAACATCAATCAACCATAAATTAACAAATAAACAACAACAAAATTGCATCAATTTCATCAACAATAACAGTCCCAACATCAACATCCAACGATCAACAGAAACAATCAATTCAGCAAATACCATTCAATCCAAATTACGAACAACAAGAAGAGAAACACAAAACTTACATGAAAGAATCTACCCACAATTATCATCATACTAACCTTTAGCTAGTTATAACCTCACCTTTACCTTAGAGTTCTTGCGATGATTTCCTCTTCCTCAACAATAGAGTCTCTTCCCTCTTCTCCTGAGCCCTAGCCTTTCTTATTCTCTTTCTCACTTTTTCTCAGTTTTCACGATCTGGCAACAACTCCCCTAAACTCCTTTTTTTTCTTCTCTATATTATTATTATTATTATTATTATTATTATTATTATTATTATTATTATTATTATTATTATTATTATTATTATTATTATTATTATTATTATTATTATTATTATTATTATTATTATTATTACTCCACAAATTAAATAATAATAATAATATTCCCTAATTATTTAAATTAGTAATATTCAACTAATATTACTAATATTATTTTAATTATCCACTCTCACCACACCACCAAGTTCTAAGCAATTGATCATACACCCCTCACCCTTAGAGTCTATAATTCTAAGGTCACTACCCCCTACCACTGGATACCCCAACATAATAAAACACACATAATCACATACATACACACAACATCACATGATTTTAATTACGAAAAATAATTAAAATAAAATGGGGTGTTACATGGTTTACCTCAAATACTTTGTTGACTTAGAGCAGATTCATGAGTACAACGGGGGCTGCATCTTTGGTATACCTATACTCCAAGTTATTTGAAGGTTGTATGTGGAAAACCAAATGAATGACAACTAGCTGCACACTGTTGACAGTAATATATTTGCATCATTTACTATTCATGTACCATTTCATAACACTTATACTATGCCATTACTAATAATTCATATTTACCATTTTCAAGCATAGATCCTGCAGTACTTCCCATTCATATCCGACTGGTCATATGTTAATACCTACATTGAGGATATGTCATGTGCTTGTGCATTCACTCAGCTTAGTGTTTTCATTATTTCTCTTTCTTTTCCCATTCAATGACCACACACATGTAGTGGTAGAATTGGCTAAGTTTTGAGTCCATGATCCCAAGGTCTTGAGTTCAAGCCTTGGGTGAGACATTTCCTTATTTTTAATGACCATTTTATTTGAT